AGTAGCTGGGACTATAGACATGTGCCACCACGCCTGGCTAATTTTTTCTATTTTTAGTTGTCCAGCTAATTTCTTTCTATTTATAGTAGAGACGGGGTCTCACTCTTGCTCAGGCTGGTCTCAAACTCCTGAGCTTAAGCAATCCTCCCACCTCGGCCTCCCAGAGTGCTAGGATACAGGCGTGAGCCACCGTGCCCAGCCTTTTTGTTTGTTTTTTTCCTTTCATGATGTGATTTTTGGAGTCTAGACCATTTGTCTTATAGAATATCCCATAATCTGGATCTGTCTGATTGCTTCCCTGTGATTAGATTGCAATTAAACATTTTCGGCCAAGAATACTCCATAGTTGTTGATGTGTACTTCTCACTGGATTATGTCAGATGGCACATGACGTCAATTAGTATGATTATTGATGAAACCAACCTTAGATATTTTCTACTGGATTTCCTCTCTGCAAAGATACATTTGTTTCTTTGTAATTGATGAGTATTTGGGGGTTGATACTTGGCATTCCTGCCAAATAGCAAGCAATATGTGGAGTGAAACCAATTATGTGCATACCATGTAACCTGGTCCTGAATTTTAAAAGTGAATAATGGATTTTTGGGCTCGTGGAAATATGGTGAATGGAATGTAGGATGCATGAGGGGGTAAGGATGTACGTGAAATGAGAATGGACGGGTAGAACCTTTGTGCCCTGCTAAAATGTGAACACTTGAAGGTTTTTAACCTAGTGTTGGTTGGGGTGATGAAATTGGATTTGAATTTTAGAAAGTTAGTTTTAACAGTGATCGGCTGGGAGATTATTACATCTATGCTAAAGATGATGAAAGGTTGGATCCAGGGCAAGGTTGTTGGCAAACAGAGGAGGAAGATTTAAGAAATATTTATGAGGTTAAAGTGGACAGAATGTAGTGACTGGTTAAATGTTGTGGGGATTCAGAGTTTCTTGGTGATATTGATATAATATTTAATAGGATTGCCTTACTCATTTACTAGATTGTGCTAAGTATAATATTTAACGTATTAGATTTTTATGAAAGTGTTACGGAGACAGGGCCTTTTGGCTTCTCTTACAGTTTATCTTTTTTTTTTCTTTCCCTCCCTGCTTTCCCAGTTTCTATTACCCTTTGTACTTATTCTACTTTTGTGAGGACTATTTGAATAACATTAACAATGTGATTCTAATATTTAGGTGAAAGATTTCTTCTTGATTTATTCTACCCAAAATGATGTATGCTTAGAACCACTATTAAGTCTTTGAATAGGACAAAACAGTATTTGATACAATCTCTTAAAATTCCTTTATTAGGTAGAATAACATTTTGTTGCAAATGATCTGTAAGGTTAACTCTAGCTCTAAAATTCTGATTCTGTGGTGTATTTATTTTTTTCTCAGTCTATTTTATTTCCTGAAAAATTCTTAATGTTTTCTTTGTCTATTTATGTTTTTCTAAGATGTTCTCAGTGCAGCTGAGTCTTGGCGAGCAGACATGGGAATCCGAGGGGAGCAGTATAAAGAAAGCCCAACAAGCTGTTGCTAATAAAGCTTTGACTGAATCTGCGCTTCCCAAACCGGTTCAGAAACCAGCCAAAAGTAATGTTAATAATAACCCAGGTATGGCACAGACCTATTTCTGTTGTGTTGTGTGCTATATATGCTGTTCTCTGTATGTTTCACTTATAGCAGTCCAGTCTTACAGTCAACAGGTATTAATAGCACACATGTGCACACACACATAAGGCAGCAAAACAATAACTGAAGGTGAGAGAACAAAGAAGGTAATTGTAATTATTTTAAAAATTTGCTTTGGTGGATACTATAAAGGTGCATTATTTACTTTTTTATTGTTGGCAAAAACATTTAAATACAAAGCACAGAAAGTTTGACTGAGTTTTTTTCTAACATAAAGATAGAAATGATCAATTTCTCTTTTTAAATTCA